GCCCTGGCGCCCTTTTGCTTCAGAGGGCAATTACATTTTTGCTACTGTTGCCATTGAAGCCAGGCTTAGCTCAACTCAGGTTGATTCCCTTCTCAAGTTGATTCATTGTATATGGCAAGCAACAGCAAGTGTCACACTGCATAATGATGCTGGGCTTCACACTGCTTTGGATAGAGTGGTGGCACAACTAACACCAGTAAGTTGTTTATTTCCAGTGTGCTTTTGAAAAGTGGCTCACTTCCCAGCCACTTGTCAGTTCTCAAAGTCTGAAATTGCTGTGCCCTATAAGAGCAGTGATGTGATGTTCCCCATCCACATCTGCCATCTGTGGGACTGGGCCCTCAATTTATTGCAAAATCCTTTTCTTGAACCACACTTTGTCTGGGATGCTGAATGGGTCTTCAAACTTGATGGTGAGACATATGAACACTTCTACACTGAACCTTGGACAGGTGATCATTGGTGGGATATTCAAGTGCATTGTAATTATTATTATTTCATACCATTGTACTGTGTAAATTCACTGTGTTTCTTCCTGTTATGTAAATGAAGTCATGGTTACCCATGCATGCAGAGAATGCTGTTCCATTTGCATTTATTATTTATGCTGACAAGACATGGTGGTCATCTCATGGTACTGTCAAGGGTTACCCCATGGTAGTGTGTTGTGCCAACCTCCCAGTTCACATTCGCAATGGTGAACAATATGGCAGTGGCTGCATGGTAGGCTGGCTTCCAATTGTGAATATGATATCTCTTTGTTTTAGAGTAATAAATTGATCAAACAGGTTTTTGCAGGTTCCCAAGCTTGTGAGTGAGGAGAGAGAGACCAGCTATGTAAATTTCAAGCATGTTGTCTGGCACAAAGCCTTCTATAAGCTCCTTGAGAAGGTTGCGGAGCTCTCAAAGGTTGGCTACCTGCATGAATGCTATGACAACATTTGCCAGTGGCTCTTTCCAGTTATTCTTATCTTGTCAGCTGACTACAAAGAACTGTAAGCACTATTTTGTCTGCAAATCAATTGTACTTATGAAACCCAGCCTTTTTAGCTGTGTGATGATGCTTATACAAGGCACAAAATGCAAATTCCCATGCCCATTTTGCCTAGTCCCTTTTGAGGAGCTTTGGGACTTATTGAAGACATATGAAATGTGCACTACCAAGCAACATCAAGAAGTGCTGGTGTTATATGAGCAGAAGAAGTCAGCTGGTGAGAAGAACCTGAAATCTCTTGGGTTACATCCCATCAAGGTAGGGCTTTGACATACATAATCTATGTTTATGACTGACAGAATGTATGATAGAATGTTTTTTGGTTGGTGGAACACTCAGAGCCTGAACAGGCTGCAAGCTTTGAGCCACTTCACTCCCTGCATGGCAGCTTGGGAGGCAAGCACATGCATGAGGAGCTCAAGATTGTCATCAATGAACTTGGCCATGATTTTGAGACATGTTTAGAAGAATGGTAAGACAATTCAATTGGGCTGTGGGGCTGGCTGACTATCACTCAGGGTTTCTGCCTTTCCCTGTTGGTGAGGCCTTGCACATTTTGATACTGTGATCCACATCACATTTTCTGATGGAAACAAAATGCGAGATCTCACCAGGGTAATCTAATTAGGATGTGTGTTTAAATGTGGCTAACAATCTGGAATAGCAGTGTTTCTATGCTCCACAACATCTCAAGCTGGGTACCAGTTGCTGCATATGATCTGCAGTTACCTACAGCTTGAAACTCTCATCAGGCTTGACATACACACTGAGGCAACCCTCAGAATGATCAAACACAAACTTCTCATTTTCAGGGGTGAACTCAAGGTATTCCACTCCTTTGGTTGTCCATTATCACACAATGATTGTTGAAAATAGGTGTACCGATCCCATGTTTGTCATTTGCATGATACAGGCCTCAAGGACAATTGGAACTTTCCCAAGGCACACCTCTGGAAGCACATTACCCATGAGATTCAGAGCAAAGGTGCTGTTCGTAATTACAGTGCTCAGCCAAATGAGAAGATGCATGGTCTGCTCAAAGATGCATACCAGGATCATTCTAATGGAAAGGATGTTGTGGGGCAGGTGCATATCAAGTACTCAGACTTGGTGCCAAGCGCCAGTAGCAGCTGAACAGGATTCAAGTTCTGACTCTGACCAGATGTCAGCCAAAACTCAAGGCAATACTTTGGGTAAGTGATCCCTGTTGTTGTGTATTACTTCATTCAAACTGATTTTATTCTATACCAGTAGGGTCAGAACAATCAGACCTGGATGTTGGAGGGCCAGCATCAGAGTGAATGCAATCGGTTTGCAATATGCAATTCTTTGTACACCATGCTAATACATCTTATTGCATTGTGATATTACTGTTATTACTGGTAAGGCTGTCAGGGAGCGACTGCATGGCATTGTGGTGATGAAACACCCATTGAAATGATTCCTGAAGACATGCTGCACATTGCTGGTGACATGAGTAAATGTTTCTTGTTGTCATCTCACTGACAGGCATTTTACATTGCCCAGCAGCTCTCTTCTTGGAGTCAGGGTGGGCTTGAAAGCTTTTAAGGAGGCCTGTGATGTAAAACAGACCCAGGCTGAGTAGTGGCATTTTTGTCTTGTCAACTTTGGCTCAAATCATCATCAAGTTCTCTTCTGTAGGCATGCCTGAGGACTTTACAGATGCCCTTCATAATGTTGGTTTGGATTCTTCTGGCGCTGACTCATGCTTGGACCACTCTGACAATGATGAGACCTCTGATCTTGAGGAGCTTCAAGAATGGCATAGAATCATGTGTGAACCACCTCCAGATGCTAGTACTCCCCAGCTACACAGTGTACATCCCTTTTCTTTATCATTCTTTCAGTTTTGACACAGCTATCACTTACACTATGGTAACAGGCACTTGGTGCCACTCAGTTGGCATACTCGAAGCTTCACATTCAGATGAGGATGCTACAAATTGACTACAACAGTCTACTCTCCACCCTCCCACACAGCCACAAGAAAGCTGTAGAGAACAATCTGAACACTGTATTGGACAACAACATCATCACCCAGGCAAAAAAGTATTGTTTCTTCTATCATTTCTGGGTCCCTAAAGATGTTTTCCCACTTGTCACTCTGCCACCTGGATATGATCTGACTGACCCTGCTCGCTGGAGTATGCCTGAATCAAAAATTGCAGGCTTCAAAGTGGAACTCTATTTCATGCTACCCAGTGACCTCAAGGTCCATGCAACAACATACAGTAACTTTGGCCATGTGGTAAGTCAACATTCCCAATCCATAATTCGAAGGCTGGTGTTGATCACCTTTAGTTTTCAAATGCAGTTGGGGCTGAGAGGCCCAACATCCTCAAACCTGTTAAGGATAACATGCAGCAACTCTTTGCACACTTGGAACTTAGTGCCAACTTATTTGCAAATGAGAATTCAAGAGCTCTGCATGGATCAAATGAGGCTGTGAGAGTGCTGCTGAAGATGCACCTGGGGAATGTGGACACTCGCTATACCCCTCTCTCACCAATCCTCTTTCCCAAACCAGATGCCCCAGTGGCCATGGATTTATTCAAAACCCCACTCCTGGTTAATGTAAGTTTTCTTCACTACTTATGACTATATATATATGCTAATTACTTCTATAAGATCATCCAGGTCATGGTTTTTGGCAAGGGAGTCCTCACTGGCAAGCAAAGGGGTGGTCCACAGGGATGAGGTCAGAAGTTGGGGATATCCAGCCCTTCAGCTGGCCTGATCACCATTGCTGCCACCTTTGTAAGTCTCGCGTCACCTTTTTCTTCTGGTCTGGATATTCTGACAAATGTATAACAGGCACAATACTTATTATTGAGTGACCACAAGCTTATGACCATTGGTGAAGAAAGTGGATTCAAGTATCAGGATGACTTTGAGTATTTTATTGAGCTATTGAGTCACCCATCAAAACAGGAGTGGTCATTGGAAGTGATGGAGTTTTTCAATCAGGGCATATGGAACACCTCAAGTATTGCCTCTGCTAATGCAGCATTAGGCTCATCCAATGACACCTCAGTAGCTTCCACATGGGAGTCCAACATCTTGGCACAGTTGAATGGCCCCTGGCAGCCAACACCTCCTCCTGACCTACACTTTGATGGACTCAACTCAACCTCTATTTCATGTCACATGCCAGAAGCAACCCATGGACATGCTGCAGACTCGGTTGTCATTTCTCAGGCAAACTCAGTCTCCTCAGTGCTTTCAGTTGATGTATCAAATCTTTCACTCAGAGGCAGTCATACATCAGCTCTACCATCTGTATCTAGTTGTGGAAAGCAGTTATCTGCTGGAAGAAGTCATTCTGGCTCAAGGATGGCTGAAGTTTCAGCAGCTGCACCAGTGAATGCCTGGGAACCACCTGCAAAGGATTGTTGTGTCACATGGCACAAGGGAAAGGGTAAGTAGTTATATTGTCATGGTCAGTCAAGTTTTGGGCTGTTTAGCTACTTCATGTGCCATATGTGCTACTGTCATAACCACTCTTTTTAAATACAATGGATCTTTTTCTTTGTTTCCCATGACCTGACTTGATGATTTTAAGCTGATAAATAGGTTCAGGGAACATCTGACAAGTTTGAATGGCACTGTCTCCCTCTCATTGCAACTCCCCTCACCCAAGAAATGTCGCCCTGGGTCAAAATTCATGGGTGAAATTCTTGATGCCATACCTATCCCCAGTGTTCGCACCATCTTCATATGCTAAACCTCATGTGTTGGACATCATCTGAACACCCTTGATCCCCTGAGGTAGCCATGGTGCCCACCCAAGCTCGCCTTCCTGCAGTCTGGCCAGTTCTACACAACAAATAAGGGAGTGTCTGCTAATGACCTGAGACACATCACTTACACTGTGCTTTACAGCCTGCTGTGTCTTGCTATTTCAACTGTTTTTTGTGCCCTCACTCTGTGCACTCATTCTGTTGTCCAGCCACATCATCAGTCCCATCATACAGTCATTGTTACCATGACAGACAATGCCTCTCATAGACTTGGCCTCCATGTCAATGGGAAGTACAGGCTTGGTAAGAAGATAGGCTCAGACACATTTGGTAGGCAGTCATTATGTGCTTGAATGTATGCCTACCCTTACCACTCCCCAGGTGACATCTACCTCAGAATTGACATCACCTCCAGTGAAGAAGTCACCATTAAGCTTGAGCCCATCAAAGCAAAGCACCCTCAGTTGGAATATGAGTCCAAAGTTTACAAGACTCTGGCTGGCAGTGTCAGCATTCCATTTGTCAGGTGGTTCAGCACAGAGTGTGACTACAATGTGATGGTCTTGGACTTGCTCAGTCTGTCCCTCAAGGACCTCTTCAACTTTTGCAGCTGCAAGTTTAGCCTAAGACCATGCTGTTGCTAGCTGACCAGTTGGTTCATAAATACATTTTGATCTTTCTCCCATTTAATTTACATCCCCAGATCTCTTGTATCGAGTATATTCATTCTTGTAATTTTATCCACCACAACATCAAGCCCAACAACTTCTTGATGGGGATTGGGAAATGAGGCAACCAAGTCAACATTATTGACTTCAGTCTTGCAAAGAAGTACCATGACCCCAAGACTCATCTGCACATCCCATATAGGGAGAATGAGAACCTCACAGGGACCACTTGTTATACCTTGATCAACACTCACTTAGTCGTTGAACAGGCCCACTGTGATGACTTGGAGTCCCTTGCTTACATGCTCATGTATTTCCTCCGTGGTGCACTTCCCTGGCAGGGCCTCAAGGCTGCCACTGAGAAGCAGAAGTACAATTGGATCATGGAGAAGGAGATGACTACCCCCATGGACCTGCTGTGCCATGACTTCCCTAACGAATTTGGCATATTCCTCAATTACACTCAAGCACTGTGGTTTGATGACAAGCCTGACTACTCCTACCTTTGCAAGCTCTTCCATGACCTCTTCATTTGTGAGGGCTTCCAGTGTGACTATGTCTTCAACTGGAGCATTCAGCACCATGCTCCTGAGAACAGTAGTACTGGCATGAGTCAGAAGGCGAGTGCTGGCAGAAGAAAAGTGGTCTAAGAGGAAGAAGACCACTGTGCCAGTGACAGGATGTAAGTGCTGCACCCATTCCCTTTGTTATTGTTTCACTCTCTAAAAAAGACAGGCAAGTGATCAATGAATGTGCTCACTACTCACACAAACCATTTGATTCCAGGACAAGTATTGTAGTTGACTGTTGTATCATATTGATCCTATATGGTGCTAACTGATGGCACCCCATGCTGCCAACTTCCTAACTGTCTTGTCAACAGTTGGGATTCCTCTGTTCTGTGAGCAGCTTTATCACTTGATGTACATTTAGGCATCACATCTGTAGGTCATCCCTGGCTCAGACTTGTTTCTTCCCTCTGACCATCACCAGCCATGTGGCATGCTCCAGACTCATTGCTGTCCCATTCACGATCATTCAGGTACCTCTAACTCACTATCCCCTTCCCCCAACTGCCAACCATACAATGTGCACCCAGACTCATTGCTGTCCTCTTCCCCCACCTATAATCACCCTGGACCTGTCACTATTCCTTCCTCCTGGTTCACAACCATGCAACATCCTCATGGACTCATTATCTGCCTCCCTCACTGCTGACTATGCCACATGTCCCTGCAGTCATTCCCATCCTCTCTTCCCCTGGTTCCTCACCATGCACCACACCCCCTGTATTCGCTATCCCTTCCTTCCAGCTGCCAATCATGCTGCATGCCTGGACTTGCTATACCCTTCCCTCTGACTGCTGACAATGCAGTTACCTTTGCATTTCCTCATTTCCCTCTTCTCTGTCCTATGGCATCAGTACATGGACCTATCCTAGCAGTGCACTCATCATCATTCTGTGCTGTACAGAACACCTCACATCTTTGCTATGAATGGAATCCCTTTCTCCCTGGTTTCCATCCTACCCTAAGCCAGGCAGCCCAGTGCTGCCACCCCACCCCATCCAGTTCCCTTGGAATGCATTCGGTAATGTATTATGAAACATCATCCATTACCTGATCTAATCCAGACTTGGATACATCAGATCGGGTTGAGTGGAAGATACCTACAAAACTGCATAACTAGTTACTACTGGTGGTAGAATAGTAGTATGGACAGGGTCATAGCAACAAATCTGAAAGATGCTACAATAAAAATACTATTGCAATATGGATTGTGGATGTTACAGTGAAGATAATAGCATTACACTAATTATAAGAGTGTTGTATTGGATTCTGCCCCATTGACATGCTTGGCAATGGCTTACAATAGCATTGTAATGCATCTGGCCATTGTCAGGCACTCCAATCAGCAGTCAATGACTAACAATAGTATTCCAATTACATGTTCCCAGCTTGCAGCAACTGGCCATTGTCAGGCAATCCAATTAGCAACCCCCAGATTACAATGCCATGCCAATGGAAACTTTGCCCATTGGCTGGGCACTAACATACATCATTCGTTGTAATTACATACAGTCACATGTAATGGCCATAATTTTTTTCTGACAGGAGCTTCACAGGAGCATCGATGGGCTATCAGTGGATATGCATATCTACTGGATGGAGGAGCTATTAGCGGGACTTTGCAGAAACAAGAACTTGTAATGCTCTCCACTGCTGAAGCAGAGTATGTTGCAGCAACTCATGCAGCCAAAGAGGGCTTGTGGCTTCGACGACTCATTGGAGAAGTTTTCTGACCACTCAAACATCCTATCCCACTGTATTCTGACAGCCAATCTGCCATTGCACTCACTAAGGATGGCAGCTACCATGCTCACACCAAGCACATCAATATAAAATACCATTTCATTTGTTTTGCTGTGGAAAACCATTCCTTTCATTTAATTTATTGCCCTACTGATGACATGCCTTTACCTAGCATCAAGGTGAAACACTTTGCATCTGCACTTGGACTCTGTCCTGATTGAGGGGGAGTGTTGAGAATGCATTCCAGAATTACAGTAGCCTCTTGGAGTTTCACCCAGAGGGCTCAGAATTTCTCCCTGGCCCTTGGAATTAAATTCCAATGTCACTATGCTTACTAATTATGGTACTATAAATTTTCTGCACCATTCTTTTCCACCTCAGTGACTTCTTCATACACTGAGGTGAGCATACTTATACTTACATTCATTTACTTGGTACTGACATAGTGTAGATACTCATAATGTTGTTAGAACTTGCAGTGCATAAGCATGTCTTCAAGATACTGATACTGCTGCTTCAAGAACATGGCTACACCCATTCCAAGCATGTCACACTTGAAGAACAACTTGCAATCTTCCTCTACACCTCTGTAACTGGCTTGTCAGTCAGACATGTAGGGGAGCATTTCCAAAGGTCAAATAGTATGGTTTCCAAGTGCATTTCTGATTCACATTCCTTCTGATATACTGATCACCATTGTAGGTACTTCAAAAGAATTTTGTTCGCATTTTTGTCTCACGATATATACAGCAAGTTTGTATGATTACCATGCAGTGATGACCCTGTCCACCCCACAGTTTTTGATAACCCCAAATTCTACCCATTTTTTGTGGATGCAATTGGTGCAATTGACAGCACACACATTGGGTGCACTCTGAGCACAGAAGAAAGGGATGCCATGTGAAACTGCAAAGGCTTTACATCCCAGAACTGTCTCATTTGCTGTGACTTTGATATGTGCTTCACATACATGCTTAGCAGGTGGGAGGGATCTGTGGCCAATGCATTGATCTACCATGACACTTGGCTGAGTGATTTAGCCATTCCAGATGGCAAGTACTACCTTGCCAATGCAGGGTTCCCAAACTGCCCACAGCTTTTGATTCCCCTCAAAGGACAGTGGTATCACTTAGCAGAATGGGGCCATGCACAATTACAGTAGGTGATTTTGCCACTGTCTTTTTCTCTGATTCACATGGATTTCTAGGCCAGTAAATGCTGAGGAGTGTTATAACCTCCACCACACTCAGCTTCACAATGTGGTCGAGCACATAATCAGTGTTGTCAAGCAGCACTTGCAAATTCTTGTCATACCCCCAGAATTTGATATGAACATTCAATCCCATATCCTGCCAGCACTTTGCTGCATCCACAATATCATTCACAAGTATGATCCACTGGAATTAGAAGATATCAAAGGCTTTGTATTGCCTCCACCACCAGATGGATCAGCACATGTGATTGGCTTGATTGCCAATGCTGTTCCAACTGACACAGACTACCTACAGATGATGGAGAAGCAGGGTGTGATTCCACAAAGCATATGGGCTAGTTATGCTGCAGAATGAGCACAAAGGGGGGATCCAGTTGCCAACTAGCTACATATATCATTTGTTTTCCCTCAATTCTTAGACATCATTTTTTCAAATGCAAGTTGATGAGTGCAGTGTTCAAATCAGAGAGAGATGTATTGCAAGCCAATGTAAAGATGGATTTAAAACTACAAGGTAAGAGTACAACATACGATATGATCACTGCATATGTGCCCTGATCTCATCAAGCCTCTTCTCAAGCCAAGCATGCCAAGCCACAGCAAAACAATTGGGAATGCTTGTGAATGATAAGTATAAGCTAGCATATGCAGCATTTGCCTGGAACTGGTTTGTGATCTGGGTGATATCAATTGGCAAGAACTTATCTACATCTATTGCAAGAAGTGTCTCTGTTGCCTTGTGGACCAGCAGATGAACCAGATCTTGCAAGAAGTTGGGCTTGGACTGGGATGTGGTTTGATAAGGTGCAGGTGAGCCTGCCATTGTTGTGATTGCATTGGTGATGGTGTTCATCTGGTTATGCATCGAACTGTGGAATTCTCCTAAATCCTCCCCAACACACTCAAGTGTCACATCTACTCCATGTTGCTTTCAAGCTGATGAGGTGGATGAAGCTGCAGTGGATGACAGGGCACCCAATACAACAGACAGGCCATCATCATCATCTGCCTTCTGCTTTTGAGAGTGCTCCATACAAGTTGAGATGCTGGAGGATGGCTTGACAGAGCTGATAGATGAACCATTTAATGAAGATGGGACAGATGGGGGGGGAGGGGGGGGAACTTGATGGTGTGCCAGGGACACCAGAAGACTGGCCTGATCACCAATCAAAAGCAGATCCACTGTAAACTGAAGTGATGGTGGAGGGTGCTGGGTATTGGGAAGCTGTTGGTAGAGGGGGAGCTGGGTTTCCAACTACTGGTGAGTGGAATGTGGTGTGGTTCAGAGATGGCAATGCTGGTGGAGCATGGTCCTGGGACAGTGTAGTTCCCCCCATGCTCTCACTCTCACTGTTGGAAGGACCCAACCCAGCATTTGATGAGCCTCCAGCAGAATTGTCAATGGTCAACGCTGAAAAGCAATTCAAGCCCTTGCCCTTGGAGGGCATGAGGTCTCTCATCTGTTTGTAGTGCACCCAACCCTTGTTTTTATAAGGGCCTGCATCCTTGTGGATCTGTTGATGTTGCCATTAGCACAGGAAATTCCATGCTAATTGAATCATACCCATACCTTCAGATAGTTGTTCCATGTATCCTTGCTCACAACACTGATATCAGCCCCTGCCTTCAGGGAATATGCAAACCCAGATGCATGGCAGAGATGATCAACAGCTGCATATGTGGTTTGTAGCTGCATGATATCAGCTGGTTATTCTGTTGTTTGACTGATAAGCCACACACCCTTTTCCATTTCTGTTTACATGCTTTAGGGGTCTTGATACCCCCTTTGACAGGCTCAGGAAGGGTTAAGGTATGTCCCAGGATCATGGTACTACCTCCTAGATCAGTTATCTCAGCAAGAAGTTCCTCATGATGGTCAAGGTAGGAGACTCAGAGATGAGCCTGATGTGTAATCCTTCCAGCAGAATTAGGTGATCCATCAACATTAAATACATCCACTGCCCTTGGCAGCACTATCTTTGGAATCCAATTCCTTTCAACAAAGTTCCTATCTATAAATACTCCAGTAGTGCCACTATTGAGCAATGCATTAACCTTGAATGCCAAACCAGCATTCATTCACAAAACCAAAGGGACCTCCACAGAATCTTTTAAGTTCAGCATG